GGGCACCGGCTCCTGGCGCAGCGTGGACGCCCCGATTAGGAGCTTGCGGCCGCGGGGCCCCCGGGGGCCATGCAGAAACGCTCCCCTCGCTCTGCCATGCTCTGAAGTTGGCACAGTCCCCCCCCAGAAAGGAGAGCTCTGCTCGTTTGTCCCCCAGCTGCCTGGCAGGGCTGATCCTCCCCGGGGTGCTGGCTGCGGTCGGGGTGCAGCTTCGGGGGAACAAACGTGGCATCAGCCCCCGCGCCCTGCGCTGCCAGGGCTGCCCAGGGGTCCCGGGGGGCCGTGCCCCGCTCACCTGGCCGAAGTTCCAGGGGGTGGAGGTGATGTAGTCACTGGCGCCCTGGTAGATGAGCCCCTGCTGGGACAGCACGTACTCGCAGCGCTCGTCCTCGTCCCGGAGGAAAACCGTGTCCTCTGTGGGGAGAGCCAGGGATGGGGACATGGGACATGGGGACATGGGGACGGGGCTCTGCCCTGGCCTCGCTCAGGGCTCCCCCATCCTGGGGACGTGCCAGGCTGTGACTGGGGATGGGGCTGGTGGGAAATGAGACCCCAGGGGCTGGGACTGCTCCCATCTGCAAGAGCTGCTGGAGAATTTCAACCCGGTTTGATTTCAGCTGATGGGAAAATTTCAGCGGGGTCGTGGGGTTTTGTTTCCCGTTCTTTCTCATCCCTCTCTCATCCCAGTCTCTTGTTTTACGGAGTCAGGTCTTTTCCCAGGAGAGGAAACCTCCCTGGTGGGAGAAGCGAGCAGTGGGAACTGGGAGCAGTGGGAACTGGGAGCACTGGTGGAGATCGCAGCTGAAGCCGTTTTGCTCACATGGCAGCTTCTGCCGGACAAATGACTCTTTACTGGGAATGTTTTCAGGAAAAGCCCAACTCACGCATCCCCAGCAGCAGCACTCGGCACAGCCCGGGGGGGAGCTCCCTAAAGCCCCTTATCTCGGGGCCACCAGCACCAAGGGCGGGGGGCTCAGGGGATCGGCTGCTTCGGGCCAGGTCTGGCAGCGCGGGGCTGCTCCGGCGGCAGAGGAAGGAGGTGGAGAGGTGAAAATCCCGGCTGCTGTTTGCCCAGCACCGATAAACCCCACGGCACCGATCCTCCCCTCTGCGTGGGGCTGCCTGAACTTCACCGGGACGGTGACACCCCCGGGAACACCCAGGGCCCGTGTCTGAGCCCGCAGCGGGGCCGGGGGCAGGTGGAGGTGGGCAGGGCTGGGCTGGGCCAGCTGGGGGCAATTAATTAGGGGCAATTAGGGGCTTTTCCTCCCCCCGATGCCTCATGGGGAGCTGCTGCTGGGGGCTGCCCAGGGCTTTGCACCAGTGCTGCAGAGGTGAGCTCCTGCGGGGCGATGCGCGGTGGGGGCAGCCCGGACGGGGCGCTGGGTGGGTGTTTGGGGCGCTGGGTGGTGTGTTCTGGGGTGGGGGCTGGTGCTTGCAGCCCCAACTTGCCGTGGGGACCGCAGGGAGGTGGAAGCAAAGTGGGGATTTCTGCTTGGACCTAAGCTTGGGGCAGGATGTGGGGCACCCGGGGTCTGTAACGGGGTGAGACCCCCAGGGCTGTGCTGCCCCAGCAGAGCTGGGGGGCAGCTCGTGCTCCCCTTACCTGGGGAGCCCTGGTCTCGCGAAAGCAAAAGCCTCACCTGGGTGCCAGGCGTTAAAGAGCAGAACGAAGTCCCCGATGTGGCAGCTGGAGCCCTGGTAGCCGGTGGAGGTCTCCAGGGTCAGGCTGTA